GCCTGTTTCCGTATTCTGTGATATTTATAGTACTGATACTACTAGCTCCAGATTCATAACCTTCTAAACCATGAAATCTTTATTGAAATGGACGTACTGTTTCTGCTGTTTGATATTTATCATTGCCTAGATACAATCTAGTATAAGGGGACCAGCTTTTAACGTTGGTAAAGAAGTGGGACACTATTGACCAGGATATGTGGAGGGGGTGGATAGTCCAAATTTGTTTTACATATGATAATCTAGTGGAGCAAATGTTAATCAGGTGACATAATATTCAGCTGAAATAAGGTAGAGAATTTAGTTCTGAAGAATAATTTGATGGTGTATTTAAAGTCTAATTTGTGACTTCAATAATAACACAGCTTATAAGACTTAAGATGTTTTGTGCCATCGGTTTGTACATAATCTCTTTTTCAAAGTTCTATAAAATTTATTGAAGGTGACAACATTCCGGTAATCGAAGTAGCAAATGAAATTGATTTGTTGATGACAATGATTAAACCTTTTCCTTATAAATATATGTTTTAAGTTCTTTTTGTTTATCAAGTCCAAACAATGGTGGTTGAATTCTAACAACTGATAAATAAAGCAAATTTTGCTAAGCAGTTCTTGATAATCGGTTCTTAACAATTATTCGGCATTATTAAAGTTTAACATTATAAAATTTACAAAAATGATATAAAATTCAGGTACTTTTTGTTTGGCAGGCCGGCACGAAACCTCACTTCTTATCTATCTTATCTAACGCCACGTCACATAACCTCCCTCTTCTTATCCCGCCAAACCTTTTAGTTATTGCATTGTTTAGTTTTCAGTTATTCTCTTATTTCGTTCACTTATTAAATTCTTTACTTTTGGCCCGTTTATGTTTATTTTTCATTATTTTTAGTTTTTGGTCCGTTTGTGTTTATTTTTCATTTTTTTTTAGTTTGTGGCCCCTTTGTGTTTATTTTTCTTTTTTTTTCTTGTGTTTATTTTCGTCATATTATGGATCTTCTTAGAATATGGGATTTGCATGTGAGGAGAGTTTTTCCTCAGCAATGAATGTTTGCTGGAGTTTGCCGAGAAACAGATGCATGTTTTATGGTCAAAATAAATGACAGAAAAGCAGCAACCTTATTGCAAGCAATTAAAGAGAATATAGAAGAGGGAACGACCATTTATTCGGACTGTTGGAAAGGATACAACAACCGACAACTGAACGGAGCAAACTATGACCATTTCCAAGTGAATCACCGGTATAATTTTGTCGATCCATCAACTGGGGTTCATACTCCACACATAGAACGATTATGGGGCTCAGCGAAGTGGAGAAATAAAGTACATAGAGAAACTGCCAGACAACACCTCGATTCATATTTGTGCGAATTTTTGTGACGGTGGGTCCACACAGAAGAGGACCCGTTCCTCACTATTTTAAATAGCTTAAAACAATTTTGCCTTCCAAAATAAAAAAACACAAAGTGAAAATAAATTGTATATATGTTGTTTATAGTGTTGATATTTTTTCTTTTCTATTTAAATATGTTCTTTAAATGTTTTTTTATTTTTTTTTATTTATTTAGAGTGCTACCAGTGGGTAGTTTCTCAACAAGTCATTTCATGTTATTATTTTCTGTTATCAAATTTTACTTAATGTATTTAATTTTTTAATACAGTTGTAAATATCATGAATAAATAAATAAATAATAAATGTCTTTTTATTTCATTTCGATGTTTTATGTGTACATATCTTCTTACAGTTCTTTTCTATTATTTCATTTATATATGTGTCTTAAAATAAAAGTATTTTTTTTTGTTATTACATTTGTTTTTGTATCTGTTTACACTATCAATAATACAAATTTAATACAATAATACGAAGATATGAAGTAGGAGAAGGCTTATCAATGCATTATGGGAATGATCAGTGTTCAGGTTATAAACATTGGCAGATAGCAGTCAGTGCCGTCCTGCTAGACAAAAAGTACCAAAATTCATATCCTGACAAAATAGGAAGATGGTCACCTAAAACATATATTCTCGCTCTCCTGCTGTTCTCTAGCTTCTGCATTTTTTTACAAAAATTTGGATTTTTTAAAATGATGTGGGACAAATTGTTAGAAAACAGAAGTGAGCTGTGGTCACCTTAATTTAGTAGGATAAATGGAAAAATATTCCAATATTTTACTCTATAAGTATTTAGTCGGAAGGATTGTGGTCAATAATCACACACTATGATAGTGTGGTATGTACTGGATAGCCTATGTTTCAACCTTATTTGTAAATTTTCATCCGGGCTAAAAAGAACAAAATACAAAAAAATTACTGTTAATTGGTATAGGGTACAAAAAAAAATTGAAAGTTGATGTTAACTTTACTATTTATATTGTTTCCTATTTCTCTACACATTTTTCTTTATCAAATACGATCATCTATCATGAAGCTTATGAGATGGTTTTTGTTTATTTCTTGCTACTAGCAGGAACTATTGAGCAAAATATCTTCATTTAAAGCTGCTTCACGTTATTCCTATCATTTTCTCTGTTCAAACTTTGTCAGGTTGGATAATTTTTGATTATTCACAATCCTTTTTACCGATTGTATCATCTATTACATCCAATTAAAACAAAGAAAATAATAAACATAGAATGAAACAAATGTATTATAGTCAAAGGTGATGCAATATGTCTGTAGAGCATAAAACAAGGTTAGGATCGCTTTTGAGACTGCCGATGGTAGTAGCATTGATTAATAGCTATGTGCTAAGCTATACAAAACAAATGGGCCAAGAGACGCTAAAAAATATCCCATTGAAATGGTCTTTAAGGTTAATGTCTCTGAAAAAAGAACAAGAAACTGAGTGAGACTTCGGGTTAAGAAATTATTCTAGAGAAATATAACTTACATTAAGCTAAAACATAGCAAAGTAAGTGTGATATTTCGGCAACCCCCTCCCTCCCCTCTCATATCTCTATTAGGCTTGAGAATATAACCCTTTTTATCAGCGGTCACAATACTTTTTTAGATTTTGCTGCTTTTATTTTTGTTTATAAGTAATTACACAGCCCATATTCAACTTAATTGTATTAATTTTCAAGTTTTTGTAACCTAAATAATTAAATATTAATTAATCCTAGCAGTAGATTTATGAATATCGTACAAAAACAAAGGGAAGCCGCAGGTAGCTCATGGATGCCACTTGTTTCTTCGAGGGTGCACGTTTCCAACCTATGCTTCAGATTCTCGTTGATCTTGTTATCTAGGAGTATGGCAGGGCTATAGCCTAAATGGCCAAACAAAATAGTTTGAAAATTTGTATAGTTTTTAAAATGTTTGTAGTTTACTATTAAAACAATATAACCTTTTACCTATTCTTTTCAGATATTTAACTATGTTACTTCAATATGACAGTTCAATATGAATTATTGTAATAGTCAACACATTGACTGCCATGATAGTTTTCATAATTCCAGCCTAAAAATCCAATTTAATTTTAAGGTTCGATAACTATGTAATTTAATTAATTTTCGATTGATTGCCTTCTCATGCCAGACAAATGTCACGTCATTGGTTCATTATAATTATTGTCAGGGAATTAAATGTCACAGAATAATAATCAAAAAGTACTAAAAATTTCATAGCAAAAATAGAATCTCTAAGTTGGTGTCCTGGGCAAGAATATGACAGTCAAAACAGATCAAAATTTTATTTCTGGATTAACTTGATTATATCTTTGTTTTAATTTAAATGGGAACTTGTTGAAACTTTTGTGGGTGTTAAGAAGTGTATCTATTAAAATTGCATTGAGTAATAAGCTATGTTGTTCTTTCATTACAATTTTGACATTTTTATTAGTGAGGGGCAGGGTAGCTGAGCTGGCTAATGCGTGTGCTAAACATGCGTTGCCCATCAACCTGATAAACTCAAGATTACGAGTTGGAATTCTGGTGCCAGATGTCCCCCACCTTTTAATCCCTTGGTTCGGGGAAAACCCCGTATAATTGAAAAGGCGAAAGTTGGATAGAAAAAATAATAAAAATATTTTTTACTTATTTTCTGAGTCTAATCCTGTAAATACCTAAGGAATGGTGCTCACGTTTAATTTTCCCAATGGTATGTGAAAACTACTGGGAAATAACTCTTTTAAATGTCATATATAAAATTTTAACCAACGTTCTGGTGCAAAGACTAAAAATTTATTCAGAAAGAATCATAGCAGATTACCAGTGTGGTTTTCGGTCTAACAGAGGTACTACTGATCAGATTTTTATTTTACGACATGTGCTCAAAAAGTGTTATGAGCACAATATTGATGTGCATATACTGATTATAGATTTTAAACAAGCCTTCAACCGAAATAAAAGAACCCAACTTTTTAGTGCATTGCGGGATTATAACATTCTGTTTAAACTAATCCTCCTAACTGAAATGACTATGCTGAACACACAAGCTAAGGTACTAATTGGCAAAATCTTCCAATTTAACTCTGGAGGAAGGCAGAGAGACGCACTCTCAGCAATTCTATTTAACTTGGTGCTACATAATGCAGTTAAAGGGATTATGCCAGATGGTAATTTAGCATGCCAAACAAGACAAATATTGGGATATGCTGACCACATAGCAAATCTAGGTAGAAGAAAAGCAACAATAGTTGAGGTTCTATCTATATTGGTTGCAGAATGTAAGAAGGTTGGATTGATAATTAACAACACAAAAACAAAGTATATGGTATTCTCAACTTCCGATTTAAGAAGAAAGCCAGAAGGTTTTGTTTTCTGATTTTTGAAGCAGTGGACAGTTTCACGTATCTTGGGGCGCAAGTCAATAGCAAAAGCTTGATTAGCCCGGAAATAAAGTGAGGAATCCTTAGGCAATAGAGCGTGCTTTGTTTGGCTAAAGCTTTTTAAATCGACACTCCTATCCAGAGTCACAAAACTCAATCCTTGGTCAGACTAGGATGTGTGCTGTGGAGCCGAAGCCTAGACACTGAAAGTAGCTGACCAGAAGACATTAAGGATTTTCAAAAGAAAAATTATGAGACAAATTTTTGGTCCCTATGCATACAAGGAGAATAGAAGATAAGGACAAATCAGGAGCTGAATGAACTGTTGAAGCACGAGGATATTGTACGTTTTATTAAGGCTAGAAGAATTAGCTGCCTAGGACACGTGGAAAGACTGCCTGATGAAATAGTAATGAAAAGTAGGGAGGAATTTTCCAGACAAAGGAAAATTGGACAACCAAGGAAACGGAAATGTGACGTGGAAGGAGATTTAAAGAGGATGGGAGTGGTGAACTGGAGGGAAAGATTGAAGGATAGAGAGGATTGGAAAAAGGTTTGAAGGAGGCCAAGGACCACCTCCGACCATAGAGCCCGTTACTAAGTAAGTAAGTAATCATATAAATTGTATGTATAACCTATTTGTAATATGTCTTTAAATATTGCTTCTTAATTTTTTCCTTTTTTTGTTTTATAAAACTAAACCAGTATTGTATCGGCTATTGACCAACGAAGATGAAATGAAGTATTTGTTCACAAGTTTACCAAAAGAACTTTTGAAAAATTAGAAAATTGGATACAGTTTATACCAGCTAAAATTAAACTTATTTACAAATTTGGAGCATTTAATGATTTTATTTTTCTATTTCAGGTTTCCTTTTTATTACGAAATCAAAGTAGCGCTGGTGCTTTGGCTTCTTTCCCCAGCTACAAAAGGGTCATCATTTCTCTATAGGAACTTTGTTCATCCTGCATTCTTGAAAAGAGAAAGTGTAAGTTTATTTTATGACTAATTAATTTAACCTTCAGAAGAAAAACTGTTGTTTTGAATAATCTTATTAATAAAATAACACATTGTTTAGTTATAGTTGATTAACCTGTAAATTCTAAAACTAGTACAAGTGGACAAGGAGGTGTACCAACTTTACTCCACTGATGGTAGCAATCTTGCATTGTTTTAATGAATAAATTCATTATATGTTTAGGACTGTTTCCTAAACTGTAAAAATATTTTATCTTTTGCAGTTCAAACCAGTCATATATTTATATTATCCAATGCGTTTATAGAGTGATTGATATGGTTGATAAAACATACGAACGACAAAGCTTAACCTTCCAATGGGTATACGTAGTGCGTCATGCCTTTTTGGTAGAGATCAATGAATCTTTTCTGTTGTTTATATTCTAAATTAATATTTTGTACATTAATATACAAATTATTATTGGTGGTCCCAGTGCACCAATCCAAAAAACAAAACAAAAGATAGCAGGAGGACAATGAGGATTAGATAAACAAATAGCTGCGATCACCAAGACATTCGGTCACTTCAAATGTTTTGACAGCCTGAAAAAAAGAGGGTAGCACATATGATAAACAATAAAGTTTAGTGAATTATCCAAGTTGGGTGTGAATACCCAATACTAGCTACTAATTACTTGTTCTATGGTTCTCATACTGATAACTTTTTTTTTTTTTTATTACAGGAGATTGATGAAATGTTGGCAAAAGCTAAGGAAAGGGGTTACAGCACTGTCGTCAGCCTTGGTAGTAAAGGTGTAACATATGCAACAAATGTAATACTGCAAACTGCAATGAAAGTGAGTTCTGGGACTTGGCCTCGGTCTATAACTCCTGGTGGATGACAGTTAACTGTCGCATGTCTTGTCAAAATGTTTTGTTTATTTGATCTGTTCTTATTAAATAATACAGCATCGCAAAATTATTAATCTTCTGTTCTTGTTTTTTTTTTTCTTTATAGCTTATGTCTGAAAGAGTTTGTTTTTGTTCACTAACAATGAGGAATAGTCCATTTTATTCACTTTTGTTTTTGTTAGCTTAAGAGAAATTTTATATAATGCTTATCAATCATTAGTTATACAGTTATTTAATTTAATGTTTTTTATGAATTGAATACTACTTTTATGCCGTTCGATATGGCTCAGATCGATAATAAACTTTTTTTTGGCCAGTAAAATGGAGTAACTTAGACCTACTGGGTGGGTAACCTGAAAATTGGAATCACTTTGTTGTTTTAAATTTTCATAATTTTTTTCAGTTTCATTGGCAACTAAATTGTTGTTTTATAGAGAAATCATTCCCAAGTCTGTCACTCCATTAGTTTTTGCTTACATCTTAAAAAAATATTCTAGTTTTGGAGGTATATTACGCCCAAGGAGCTAAGCTCCACTTATTTATGATATGAACTCAGTTGTATTAGAATTAAATAATTTCAATATTTATTTTTTTAAGAAATTCGGATCATTATTTTTAGTCTTATTAAAGTAAGATTGTTGAAATATTTTCTCTATAGTTCCTCTTTGGATTAGGCATGATTGAAAACCAATCTATTTTCTTTGGTTAAAAATCCAATAGTTTGTATTGTTAAGGGTCCAAGATTTATATCTGAATTATTGAAGTGTTCAAATTATCAAGAATCAGCAGTAAAAAAAAAATTTTAACAATTCTTTGTAATTTGGCTGTTAGTTAATAGGGCTCATGAATATCAACTATTTCTCCCAACTCATCTTACCACTCGCTTTCCCCTCCAAGTTTTTTTAAATGTTGTGCTTTCTTTTTTTAAATCGATTGAACCATCCATCCCTTTCCTGGAAATCGGTACGTTATAATTCTTTGCTTATGTCCACCATTTTTTAAATGCTTTACAAGTCTAGTCGTGTTGCTCGCCAACCTTTAAGTGCTTTAGTTAGCTCTTGAATTTTAGTTGATTTTTTCCTTGTTCTTCAGAATTAATGATACCATCAGGAGAGGAAAGTTAAAACATTTGGATATATCAGTTTGTCAACACTAGCTTTGCTTTTAATATTTTTTTTTTACTTTAATGGAGAGCATTGATAGAACTTCTTGGAGGCATTAAGAAAACTAAATTAAAACAAATATCACATTTGATGAAAAGAAAGGACAAAAAAATAAAAATAAAAATACCATGAATAGGGAGTCAAGATGCCAAATTACAATTTATTCAGCAATTATTACCTAAGTAAATAATAATTTATTTTTAAATGGTTTTTGCAGAGATGCTCATTTTGATGTATAGATGAACTGTGTAATTCATGGTGGTTTTTGGTTTACTCTTTGCAGAGATGTAAACAATAAGCCCATTTTTTCTTTCTCTGAAGATTCAGATATAGCGTGAAAAGCCCTTCTAATTGCTTAAAATATATTAATTTATGTATTTTAAACAATTAAATATGAAATATGTTTTCATTCATATTAACATCATTTTCTTTCTTTTAATAAATCAATTTTTAGAGTTTAGTCTCTAAATTCTTTTCTTTATTTTTCTGCTGAACCTAATTTGATGAGAGTAGGATCATTTTAATTCAATAGAAATAACCCCATCATGTAAAGTTTCTTAGAGAGAGAGGGAAAATTTAGAATGACATCTTGTAGAATTATTTCTGCCAAATTCACAATTAAAAAAATCAAAAACAATACTCTTTTCTTGTTTAAAAAAGAAGTGAGATGGGGTACTTAAGTTTTAAAATAAAAAAAATATGAATTTTGTAGAATATATTGAATTGGTAGATTGTAATGATTGGGGTTAACAGTTAGTCAAGGAAGAAATACATAGCATTGATCGTTATTTTTCATATTATGATGAATGCAATATATGACTATCTGTTATTTAACATTAATTAATTAAATTTAATAAATCTTTAAAATGTCCCAAAAAGAACGCAGTTTTTAATTTTTTTGTTTGTTTTTGGCCACACTTTTCTTGTTTCTTTTATATATTCTCATTGAAGCTAGTTTTGATTTATCTTTTCCTTGAATATTTTTCCTTTTCGACATCACTGTTTGATTTAAATACTAAAGCGATGTTCTAGAAATAGCGAATATATTATGAAACTCGAACATCAGCTTGGTACATAGCTCTGGTATCATAAAGTTGTTCTGACTTTAACAACTGTGTGTGGCTAAGGAAAATGTCAAATGAATGATCATATGTAAATGTCATAAGTTTTTTTTTGTCAACTCAAAAAATTTGATTTGAGTAGAGGAAGGTTAGCTAACATAACATGGGTTATAGAATAGCTGTGATTTGTGAGAATTCGTTAATTAATTTATATCCTTGATCAGTATTCAATTTTATCAAACGTCTGTTGCCTGAATCGTATAATCCATTTCTGTGTGGTTTATTTTTGTTTGGTGCTTTTCCAAATCCCAAGTGTCTAAAACTGTGAACTGTGCTGAAACTGAAGAAAGGAAGATATCAAATGAATTATACAGTGCTCATCAAAGTTTTATCAAGCAAGTAATCACTTGGAGAAAAAAACGGAGGTGGTGATATTTTACTTTTAAACCCACAACTTGCACTTAAAAAAATTATTTTGTGAATTTCAATATGTTATGCAGCAACATTGAAAATTGCGTTCTTTTCGGGGCATCCTGTACTGATATTCTTAGGTTATGAAAATTAATATGCATTGCTGTTTTCATCAAGAGTTTTTAGCTGCTTTATTTTCTCTCGTATGTTCAGGATTTTAAAAAAATATTTTTTCTGTTATATTAAGTCGTTACAAAAAAGGCTATGTGCATTTTAATGCTTATTTAAATATGATGCAAATAATGCTGTGCATTGTTTACTTGGACGACAACTGTATTTGTCTTCCATTCCATTTTATTTTAATAAATAATAAAAGGCTTAGCGAACCCGAAGGTTCAATGCCGACACCACCAATCGCTTATTACATACCTCCCTCCACCGTTTGCCGTCCAAACCCAGTCCCTTCAGATCGGCTTTAATACAATCTTCCCACCTTCGCTTCGGTCTACCCCTCGAATGCTTACCATTCAGCACAGCAAATATTAACTTTTTAGGAATTCTCTCGTTACTAAGCCCAACAACTTTACAAGCCCATTTGATTCACCGCGATGAAACTACCTCAATTATATTACCCGGATACAGCTCACGCAATTCGGCGTTGTGTAACCGTCTGAACTCTCCGGTTAACTCATCCTTCTTCGGTCCGAATATTCTACGCAATACTTTATTTTCAAAAACCTTAAGACGCTGCTCATCCCTTATTGTAAGCGGCCAAGTTTCGCATCCATAAAGAACTGTAGACAAGATAATTGTTTTATAGATTCTAATTTTTAAGTTCCGGGACAAGAGGTGCGAACTAAGTAGTTTTGTCACAGAAAAATAACAAGCATTTCCTGCCTTCAGTCTAACCTTAATCTCTTCTTCAATTTCGTTTTTTCTAGTTATCGTAGAACCTAGATACCTAAATTAATCTACCTGTTCAAACATATTACCATCTATATCGATATCACCAGTAGTATCGCCATTTTTGCAGCTAACCATATATTTTGTTTTATCCATGTTTATTTCGAGTCCTAGTTCTTTACCGGCTTTCATTAACGTTGTCGTATTTAGTTTTATAGTTTCAACGTCTTCGCTTAACAGTACCAGATCATCAGCATAGCCCAGCACGGATGTTGTCCCACCCAGATCCAACCCTTTCTCGGTTCGCATTACCTCCTTAATGGCAGGTTCTAATGCCAAATTGAACAGGACAGGCAAAAGAGAATCCCCCTGTTTTAAACCCGAACGAACCTCAAATTCGGTACTCTTGGTCTTCTGAGGCATTTCTGGAAAAATATACAACAAAATGTTTGTGTTAGAATTGTGTTTAGCATTTGGTGCTGATTTGTGATGTTATGGCTGTTGATGATGAAGTTTACTGTGAACAACTCGAAAGAGAATATGGAGGTTTTAAAAGATAAGTATTCTGATTTGGTAAATTCGAATAAAATGGTATTTCAGCAAGGCAATGCTTCTGCCTATGAGTCTAGCTTAATCAAAAAAAAATTTAAGAGAAAAGAAAAAGAAAAGATTTTGTTGGTAAAGATTCGGTTATAATAATAAATATGCAAAAAGTCGCAAATTTTTCTGATTCATATCTACAAAGATAATTATTGTTAAAGAAAAGTGGTTCTGCAAATGCTCAACATGGAAATGAGCAACAAAATAAAATTAATGAGGATAGAGAGAGGAGAGGGGAGACCGTTTACTTCAATTGAAGGGAGAGGAACTTGAGCACATCACTGACTACAGATATTTGGGGGTCCATCTAAATGAGAATGGCTGGATAGATGGCGAAATCAATGAGAGGATAAGAACTATTTATTATTATTTAAAAAATCCAATCTCAATCTTATATACATTATTTATCACTCGAGTTTTATCGCCGCTCAAATTTATATGATTATTTTCTACCCGACTGGCTATGGTGGTCTATAATTTGAAGAATTATTTTAATGTGTAAATTTTATACTATAATTAAAATAAAATTTGACACATAGGGATATCAGGAAATGAAATGGCAGACAAAATGGCAAATCAAAACCAACTACTTCGAATAAATGCTAAGGCTCCTTTACTGGATTTGATAAGAGTAGTGAGGGGGAAAACGATGAAAGACTGGCAGCATTTCTATGCCTGGGAATGTGCCTCGGAGGGTAAGAACCATCATGCAGTTCACAGAAGATAGCACTGGTTCCATGGTGTGCGACTCTTAAAAATCTCATCTTAACCGCTCCAGCTTAGTAAAGCTGACCAGGCTTAGGATAAATCATGGTAGAACTAATAAATATCTACATCTAATGGGTATAGCTAATAGCGGTCACTGTCCAACATGCCAATGCTTGGAGGACCCAAGACACATTGCCCTCAAGTGCAAAAGATTCGAGAAGTGAAGATGAATTAGTTTAGCATCACAAACTACGGATGATAGATAGCTAACTTTCTTCGGTCGATGAATAAAGATAACGCCCGATAAAAGTCATAAGTCCCCTCTTATTCTCATTTAATTGTTATGAAACTACAGTCACCTCAGTTTTTAACTATTAGTCTTTCTAGTTTAAGCTCTATATAAGTTACATTCAGTGATAATCTATCTAGAAATATTCAATTAATATGCAGTATAATTTTATCTTACAATTACAATTAAAATATTTTATTCGCAAAATAGGATTTGCTTTTGCAAGTCTTAAACCCAAAAAGAAAAAAAAAAAGAAATTTATTTTCAACACAAAGGCTTTTGTAACGACTTAGTATTTATCATCTAAAGAATATTTTATATCTTGATTTAAAGACAGCCAACCATTTAGCTTTTAATTTGTTTATTTATTTTTTACTAATATGACCCTTTTTTGTGCTTAAATTAGATGGTTTTAATTTTATTTATTTATTTTTTTATTTTGCTTATGATGTAATTTAATGGTTGCTGCTAGAATATGAACGGTCTTTCTGAACTTGGAGCCGCAGGAGATGAAGGGAATGGAGAGCCCACAGTTGTGGAAGAGATGATCATTGAAGAACCAATGAAGAAAAAGCGAACACGGAAACCCAAAACATAATTGATTTAAAAAATATTTTAAAATTTAGCTAGAGATATTTCTTGATTAGGACCTTGGATAAAAAAATAAAATTGAAAAAGAATTTTGTAATTGGTAAACGTTTAGTATTGTCGATTGTTAACTTTTTATAGTTAGGATTATTTGCTTTCCACTATGTTCAATGGCTAGTAAAGTGCTCAAAAGAAAAATACAGTCCTATCGTCTAAGACTTTTGTATTTTTTAATTGTATTACTTTTAGTTTATGTAATGTTCAAGCTTTACTTTAGATATAATTGTGATGTAAAGTGAGGCCTTAAAGTCTAGGTTTAAGACTGAAGTTGTGATAATGAATGAAGGGGCTCTTGGTACTAAGAAGCATGTGATATTCACTCATGATATTAATATTTACCAATTAGGATAATTTTAATAATTGATTCTCCAAGATTTTATTTTGCAACTATTTGTTACTAATTTTTTAATGAAATAAAGATCTGCTTATTTTAATTTTTTTTTTTTTTTTTTACTAACATCCACTGAATTTCAAAGCTTGTCACGTACTAATCACACCTAACAAGACAACTCGCAGGCATTTAAAAAAAAAATAATCATTTAAGGTTTTTTTTCTTCTTAACTTTGTTTCTTTGGTATAAAGTAGATGGAATTCTTTAATTTTTTTCTAATTAATTTAATTTTCTTAGTTAAATTTGTGAAAATCTAAAAGTTGGGGAAAAAAGATTAAATAAAAAATATGTAGTAATAATAAAGAAAACAAATAAAGAAAAGAAAAGCTACTTTGTGTCTCAGTCACAAATAAAATATTTCAGGGTGGCGGAGGTTTGGTTGAACATATTAGAAAAAGCTACAGTTTGACCGACCTTGCTCCGAGGAAAAGCGACAGATTCATTCGCCCAGATGAAGCTGATGCAGGGCCAGGTAATTAAAATATGCATTTTGAATGTATAATTTTTTTTTGTGATTACTAAATAGTTTTGCTTGATATTCAATTTAGTTTGCATTGGCTGTATTAAACGCAATATTTTGTGATAACTGATTTTATTAATGATTTGAAATATGTTTCTTGAATTCTTTAATCTCCCTCTTTATATTTATTCAGATTGTGTTTCTAAATTAATTTCTAGAAGTTATTTTCTAGTAGATATATTTAAACACTCATATTTTTATAACATGACAAGTTCTTCAAAAGAAGTGTTTGGGTGCTGATAGATCAAATGGACTGAATAACTTCAATTTTAAGCTTTTGAGGTTTGATATGATACATCTCCAAATGGATGATCATAAATAGAGCACGTCCATCTGTTTGCCCTTCTCGTGCTTTAAAATTAAATTTTTATTCTAGGTATTTACTAATTTGAAGTCTTGTTCATTAGTTATTGTTGAAAAACGAATGGTTTTCTTTCAGTTTCATGGCGTGTTTATATTGCTTGTAATTCTCAGTTTTTTGTTTCTTAAAATATATTTATCAAATTCATATGTCCCATCCTCTTAGTCTAAATTCAACATTACAGAACTTCTTTTTTGTTGAATGCCATTTTACGAAAAATAGGAGTATCGGAATTTTAAGTAGTTTGTAGGAAAAATAAGAAATGTTTAAATTAAAACTTTTTACTATAGAGGCCTTGTGGAATGATTAACTATTTTAGTTTATGATTATTGAGTGGCACTACAACATACAATCATTTGAGATTTGGCCTGCTCCAACGTAAATAGTCAGTTTTCTCTTTTAATTGCTACTGCCTTCCAATTTCTGTCCTACTAAGTAGTTTATTTCCATCAGTAGTCACACAGTGTTCTGGGCCACCGTGTTTATACAACTCTGTTGGCATATTAATATCTGAGACTATTATTTTTAACCTTTCTATGAGTTCCTCTTATCTCTTCTGAAGGTTTTACCTCCTCGCCACCAGTAAGTATGTTATCTACTTCTAGAGGATATGTGATATTCCTGATAAGAAGGGTTAAGACGTATTTAGCCCATTGGTCTGGAACGCCATGTTTGTTGGTTATATTTTAGTTTATTGATATTATTAATAATTTAAATATGATGTTTAAAAAAAATTTAATATTATTAAATCTAAAAGGTCATTCAAGTTTTAACAAATAATTGATGGTCCAGACCTAAGTTCTTTTTCTAATTGTTGATGTATTTATAAGTTTAAATAATTATTGTGTTCATATTAAATATTTATTTCCTAATCATGCCTGAATATTAAGTTTCTTTTCATGAATGAAAATTTATTTTCAAATAAAAAAAATCAAAAGTTTTTTAAAATGATATTTTCAGGTTAATTTACTGTGAATGGAAAAAATAGCAAGTTGTATTTTTGACAGATAAGAGGAATATTGAAGTTATATATCATAAAACTTAAGAAACTACTAAAGCATATAATGAATTGTAGCAGTTGCTTTAAAGGCGATTTTGTATAAAAATGTTTATAGTCTAAACCACAGGTGGAAAACTTTTGGCCTCTGTTGGTTTTGGTGCGCTCTTCATTAATCTAGTGGTAGAATTAATTAATATTTAATTAATTAGGTCACAAAAAATTGAAAAGTAGTATAATTAAGTTGAGTATATATATATATATCAATATACGGTCTATATATATAGATATAGATGTATATATAACAGTGTGCATATGTATTTTACTTATAAATAAAAATAGCAACATTAAAATAAAAAAAATTATTAGGTCCTCCATTATCACTGCCTAATCTTAATGATAAAAAGGTTCCCCACCAATGTATATACGGTCTAAACCATATTATAATCAATTTATTCTAGTCATATTAATGAAGACCTCACAAAAACTAACAAAAGCAAGATGCGTCCTCCGAGGCTGCAGGTAATTCAGAGAGGCCACAAACTTCTTCAAGGCCACAGGTTCCCCACCTTTGGGCTAAATCATTTAATATAAAAATTAATATTCTACATTTTACTTTTTTTTTCCTGATTACTTATGTGTATCTGTGCCATTAAATAAATGGATAGATCTACTGAACCCAATTTATATTTAACAATTCTAAAGCACTCTTATATTAATTATAATAATTGTATTTTAATAATAATGAAAAAAACCCATAGCGAAAATAGTGAATATATAATATTCATTATCCTTATGGAGCCATCCATGTAGTTAAGAAACTAATGGTAAGATAGCTATAATGTAACAATCATGAGTCTCATTTCTGATTCGTAATATTTACATCTGGGATGGCTCTTCCCCATGAACAGTTAAGACCCCTAATCTTTTAATTAGGAGAACCTCTTGTAACAAGGCTTATTTATTTATCAATTGGGTAGAGGGTTTGATTCCCACCTTGGTCAGTTAATATTTACGAGTATATGAGAAATGAATCTTGATCCTCTGATCCTGGTTTATGCAGCCGCAACTGTTGGGTAATCATCAGTTGGAAAGAAGGATTACTAATACCCCTTGCAGAACTATTTACTCTCACCAGTATCGATAGCAATATGTTAATCAAGACTTAAAATATTTCATTCTGAGTTTTCAAAAAGGTAAGTGATATATTATAACATGTAAACCCTCTGCCATCATAACTAAATATTTAGCTACTGCATCTGAGCTCAGGTATTCCTAGAGTTGGTCTTGTGACTATCAAGGGATGGGGGGGAAAACTAATAGTCCTACAAGCCATAATCATTTATAGGTTAAATATTCAGATATACTTTCAAATCTCTCTAGGTATATATGAGCCTTTCCGTTGACAGAATCACTAACTCCCATTTCAAAATTCTTTAACCCAAATTGGGCGATCACCCATCCAAGTGCTAACTACGCTCGGTGTTGCTTAACTTGGTTACCTATTGCAAGCGCCTTAGCCCGCACGGCAACCCCAGCCCCAAAATAAATCTATATCAACGCATAATTCTGGAGACATCTTATAGATCAGGAAAAATAATATAAACATCTTACAAAATGATGAGACAGGATGTCTTTTGATTGATGTAATTTTTATTTTTATTACATAAAGATAGTAGATGTATTAGTTTTGATTTTGCTTTTCCTGGACTTATGAGGTACCATAGCTTAAGCAACAAAACACAATCTTAATTGATTGTGAAGTTTTGGTTGTTACGTTCTTAATGTATTAAGTGTGTTTGATGCCATAGTGAGAGAAGAAGACGATGAAGTACCTGAAAGGCCAGTCCTTCGACGAAGACCTATAGGATCTCCTGGTGTAGACATGAGGTTTAAAGAATTTGACGTAAACATGAGGCAGTTACAGGCTTCTTCAGGTCCTCTTAAGTATGTTATCAAGTTTTTTGTCTTAGTTTGCTTTTTAAAAAAATTAGATCTTTAAATTAATATTTTCACACTTATTTAAACATTCATATCGATTATCCTGTATTTTTATTTTTATGATTCTTCTACCTTATGTTGAGTGACATTGCAATGTATCTTCAAAAGTAATACATTTAAATTCCACTTTTAAAGAGTTACTATATTTTTTAACAAAATATCCATTATTTATTTATTACATAACTTTTAATCATTAAAGCTTTTCTCTTTTTCATTCTCAGCACTCCTTGCAAATCTGTCTGATGCATCTAATACTCCAGTTGTGATGTTGTGCACTATATTATTACATGCATTATCGGATACTCGTTTGAAGGAGATCATTTACTATGAATTGTTTATGTTGATTATTGGACATAATGATTCTTTTCCAAGATTGGTACTTCAATAATAGTGATTAATACTCATGCAATAAAATCCTTGCTTTGAGAATCAGACTTTAATTTCAAAACTGTATTTCTGCATTTTTGCTATCACTCAAGCAAACTCTTTGATGATAATATAATTACATTTACAAGTTGAACTTCATTATTAGTAATACTGATTCTTGCCAATAATATGATTTATTATTATTTTGTAGTGATATTCAGTCAACAGAAGATATTAGTTCAGGATATTCTAGCACTGATCAGCTGTATACGAGTCCTTCTGAAATGATGCTTACTAGATCATCATCTGTTACCAGAGGACGTGGTGGCCGCACATCTAGGTCTACCCAACAGAAAAAAATTCCTTTGACAGAAGTAAATATATTATATTACAAATTATGTTTTAGAGCTGCTGTATTGTATGTTTACATTTATTATTATTATTAATTTCAATACATAATAATATATATTTTAAATTAAGTTTTAAATTTCTGCAGTAGTTGTTATGATGTATTATGAAGTAACCATTTTGTTTTTTTCCTGTTTCTTAATAAAATTTTCTTTATTGAAATTTACTATGGCGCTGGTAGTGGTGACAGCCAAATTGGATCCTCCTTGATAGTCGAGTCTTTCTTCTTCAGTTATTTCTCATCCTCCTTCTCTTAAATTTATTTGGCTCAGTGCCCTATTATGTCTTAAAGGTCTTATTTATTTTGTGATTGTGAAGTTGTTGTATGTGTTTGTTTGACTCTAAAACAAGCTGCGACTGAGCTGTTTTTTAAGTTATGCAGCTCTTTTTGATAATTCCTTATTTGAATCATCAGGATTATGTTTTTGATGACAAAGGAAGGTTCTATATCATCATTCTAAAATGAATTAAATACCACTATTCCTTGAGATTCTTCTATTCCTAGAGATAGCAGATTCTTTGCTTGAAAAATAATTCATATGGTATCACGCTCCATAATTAGATTGGTCATTTTTATATTATGGCTAATTTCTTTTCAATTTTTTAATGATCCCATAAAAATTTAAGTTTTCAGGTCTCTGATACATTGTTGTTGTGTTGGGCTTTGAGCTTATTTAAGTTTATAATTCATGTATTTAAATACATTTTACAGGCCTTTATTAACAAAAAAAAAAAAAAATAAAAAAAAATAAAATGAATATATCTCATTGTTATAGTTTATTTCATGAATCTATTTATATTTTATTGATTTAGTACTTTCTATTAGGATACATTCAGAAAAATAGTTTCTCAGGAGTATTATTCATTAGTTATTTAGTTGTTATTTTTTATTGTTTTTATTTACTTGTGAAATTTCTCACTTTTATTTTTATTGTAAGGAAATTGAAGATGAAGATGAAGCCAGCGAAGTCATTCCCGAATCTTATCCTTTACCATCACCATCCCATGATATCTCTTCTATCATTAGAAAATTTTCCATCCCACTTACAAATGAAGATATTCCCGTTAAAGTAAAGGATTTGACGTCTCGTTATGAAGCACAAAGCTCCTCATTAATAGATCAAAGTCCTTCTACGCTTAGCTGTGTCTCTCAGAGCTCACTGGCTTCACTTTCAAGCGAGAAGTCTGATAGGAAAGGTAGATATGGAAAATATCAAGCTCCAAAGCCACCGAGCCAAGATACAATTTTAATTAGCGAAAGTTTAAAGTTCTATGAAATGAGCAGTCATTTTGACAATAAAATGATCTCTAATAAACTGAAATCGGCTGTTAATGAAACTCAGTCAGTTGTCAACATTAAACATTCGTCAAAGGAAAGCAATTTGCAAGATATTCTGGTTCCTAATGCAAATGAAATATTGAGGAGAGATGAAGATAATATAAAATTGATATCTGAGGGTGAAAAACCATTTGAAACTACTGTGTAAATTTTCAGTTTTTAATGGGGAGAGTAAATTATTGGTCATCCAAATTTTTTAATAAATTTCTTAAACAACGATTTAAATTTTTTAATGCTTAGTGATATTAAGCGTAAAATTAAGACATTTTTTATATAATGATTATTTTATAACTAAAAAAAAAAAGTTTAAATTTGTAAGGTTTTAGATTTATTACATAATAGTGTAATTTTTTGGTATTTTAAGAGGGAGTAGGATAAAATGCTCCTTAACTAAAATTAATTCACTTGACTTAAGTATTTTGAGATTATTATTTATCAAATGTGGCTAGGTAGAATTAATAGGTATTCTAATAACAAATTTGATTTTCTGAAAGTAAAGCTAAGAATATTGGCTCTTGGCTTACAAAACACAAAACCTTTATAGTATTAACAGTATGATAACCTATATCATGGATATAGGTTCTCTGAATTATGTCTTCAATTTTCAAAGTGACCCATAACCTGCATAGCAATATTTTCAGAAAATGTGGAAAACTATATTTTCCATTCCAATAGTAATATTAAAACCCCTTTAAAAAAAATATATATATATATATATTTGTTGTACATATTTCTGAAGATCTTTGATTATTTTAATAGTAATTAAAAAGCATTTAAACTTTAATAGGGCTGCCTTTGAAATGAATTAAACTTTATGGCCTGGTTTTTCGAGCTGATACCCATTAGTCAATATAATCTTTTGATTTTACAACCTGAATTAAATTTTACCAATCCTAATAAAATTTTCATGCTAAAGGAATTCGAACAACAAATTAATAAAGATTTATTAATTTTAGTAATTTCACCAGAAATAAATATAAGAATTATTTCATGCATTCTTATTATTTTTATTAACATTTTGTCTGCTTTATTAATGCTCTGTGCCCCTTAAATTATTTATTTCTGTACTGTTAATTCTATATAAATGTAGAATTAATTTTATGTGCAGTGAGCTGTTTATTCATTTACCAGTTTTACTTTATAAATATTCAGTTTTACAAAAGTAAAATATAAGTTTTATTTCATTCAAGTTGTTATTATTGTTGAGGCATATAAAGTATAACACATCTTATTTTTTTTTTTTAAATAAGGTAACGGAACATGCAAACATTTTGAAAATTAGAGAGAAAACTATGCATTGTATTGAATTAATTTTGAAGTCAAATGAAATTAGCTAAGTACTAATACCATTTATTATTAATATTTCTATCACTCAGAATCAACAAGCGAATGAACTAAAAAAAGTTAATTATTTATATTAAACATTTAAAAATTGTTACAAACTTAGGTAGAGAAACATTTTTAACCAGTGTTCTTGATTTGTTTTACTAACTCATTTCTATAGACTACTCTGTTTTAGAGATGGATCTAATCTTGTGAAACTGTTATGAACTTTTTCATTGACAAGTCCAGATTGTAAAGCGTGCTTATTAGATTCAGTTCCAAACAATACACTGTGTAAATGGAACCTTAAAAAAATTTAAGTCCTGACAGATCAAGAGAATTCGTGAGTTCTGTTTGAATTTTTAGAAATGTTATCTAAAAGAGGAATATTAAATTATTTCTTGAAATAATGTGTAAATTTTAAATACATTTTTGGTTTGGAAAATTTAAATGATTTTTAGTTTTAAATCAGACATTCGCAGTTTCATTAATTTTACTTCAAATTCTATTCATTCACATTTTGGGAAGGAAAGAGGACTCCCAAAGCTACAAAAATAACGATCTTCAAAAATAACCTTCCTTCCAATCCTGACCTTCTCAAGGGAGTATTGGACCCGTTCAAGTAAGATAGAAGCCACCTTCCAAATGAAGGAGATGCGCTACCTCTGTTGTGTTGGAGGTAAGACAGGGAGAGACTGAGCGAGGAACAACACCATCCGATCCAACCTGGGTCTTATATATTGGATGTATATAGGAGCACCAGCTAAGGTGGTTCGCACATGTTCCTCGAATGTCAGAAGATATACTAGCATGGGCAACTTATGAGACACAGGAGGGATGTAGAAGACTTAGAGGGCAGCCTATGAAGATGTGCAAGAGTGGAATAAAGGAAACCTTTCACCAGAGAGGAATGAATCGGGCGAGGAGAAGACTATTTGCTCAAGATAAAGAATTATAGATCAGGCTCAATGGAAGCCTTACACTGCTTAGTGGTTGAAAATGATGGATAAAGTACGTAATTTATTGTTAAATAACTCAAGTTATTTCTGAAATTCTATTGTCCACAATATCATTTGATAAAACCTATCATGTTTTGAAGACATTAGATTTCTATTGACAATTCTAATTTTTTAATTAAAAAAAATTATGTTTTTATCTTTTATTAATGGAGCAATCAACTAAACTAAAGAAATTTATGGTAAAATTAACATACTTTTAGCATTCATTTTTTTTTCTTCTTTTCTATTCTTTTTTTTTTTTTCCATTTTTCCATTCCTTTGCCTTAATTATTCTTCTAAACAGTCGAACCTTCAAGATATAAGGTACAATTTTAGTGAGCTTTTTGCTATTTGGCTGACAATGTTGATTAACATTTTGTGCTTTCTCGTGATGATTGCACTAACAGCCAAATACAGTTTGAATGTGACTAACATTTGCTTTGAGATTATTGATTTAGTTTTGTTTTCTTTCAAATATTTTTAACAACCTAATTATAGATTGAAGACAGATGTCAGAACTCTGCATCTATTTGAAAATTAGAATAGATGTTATGCTAAGTGCTATTAAAGATTTGGCTATTTCTTTCTTCTTGATATCGTTTCACTCATTATTTGTTATTTTTTCCCTAATCATTTCCATTAATTTTCTGATTTCATTTATTGAATTCATTATTTTGTTTTAGATATTTATGATTGATGAGAGTATGTTTGTTAATTATTTTGATTATATGGAACAGAATTCCGTAAATTTTATTAATTAAACTAATTTAACAGCAGTTGTGTTTTTTAAAGATTTTTTACTTTTATGATTGTTTTAGCGTTTTTTCCATTTGTTCTAACACTTTTTATATATGGGTGGCTTTAGTTATTGAATCGTGAAGTGAATACATTTTTATTAATATACTTTTATTCTAGAATAAATTACCCTGTAAAAGACAATTAAAAAATGCTTGTTTTTAGTATAATTGACAATATTTTTGATTTATTTTCTATCTGTGCAACTTCAGATTATATCAATGTTTTAATTGGGAAAGGCACAACAAAAATATATTTAACAAAAAGAGTTGATGAAACTAAATCTTATATCAACAGTATAAAATTTTAAATGACTGCCCAATAGTACTTCATGACTGAACCAACAGAGCTCATATTTATCAAATCGTACCAGAAATTTTATTGAACACTTGATAGTTGACAGTGGTATATTATTGAGTAAGGAGATGGTCCGGGATGGTCATAAAAAGAATAAATAAAATAGTCCAAAAAATTGTTTTATTTAAAATCAACGTTTCGATCTGACTTTGCAGGTCTTCTTCCGGGCTAGAACGAACAAGATACAAAAGGCTATAGAAAAATTATGTAACTTCTACATTTTTCTATAGCCTTTTGTATCTTGTCCGTTTTGGCCCTGAAGAAGACCTGCAAAGTTGGATCAAAACATTGGCTTTAAATAAAATATTTTTTCCACTATTTTAGTCTTTTTATGACCGCCACATTGATTCATCTCCTTATTCAATAGAAATTTTATTGATTTATGTTTTTTAATCTTAAAATGTTTTCATTTTATTTTAAGGATTCTATTTTAACACTTTACTTCAACCCATATTTTTAGTTTTTGTGGCCTCGATAAAAACCAAACGATTTTAAACTTGGTTTATCTAATATATTAAATTGTTCTTTTTCATTTAAGGAGTAATTATCAATCTTCAGAGCAAACCTTTACCAATAAATAAATACTTGTCAAGTATGTTTCATGAATTTCACAAATGGGTAAATTGACAATCCAGAAAAAAGTTCCATTCTATAACTAGGTAAGATTACAGTTCTAGTTTTTCAACATATCAAAATGAAGAAAAGTTCTAATTACATATAATCCAGAAATGGTTGTATATGACTGTTTCTCAAGCAGGATTGTAGTTTCCTAGTTGTAGTATTCGCTTCATGATACGTAACAAATCATTAAATAAAAATATTAATTACATACAAAGAGTGCAAATAAGGAAGCATCACAATTTTGAGAAAATCTCAAAAGTTTATAACACTGCCTAGATTGTTAAACTTGGAACTTGTAAAAAAATTTCCTGTTTTTGTTCTGTTCTTGGTTTTCCTTGCATTTGTTACATTGCTAATTTATAAAGAAATTTAGAAGTCTTTTATTTGACGCTTTGTTTGTTTGCATATTACTGATAATCTTATCTATTAAGATTATCTGTTAACATATTTGGTGCTATATAACATATATGCTAATAATAAAGCAAATAAATTCAAATTCAGTTTTGACTACTCCCGAGGTGTTTTAGTATTATAAAAGGGTTGAAACAGCCTCTAAAATAATTTTCTGATTGTGTGACATGAAATGTCAGTTTCGGGGGTGACATTGCTGAGTATAAACAATAATTTAATAGGAACCGACAATTATTGATTAAATACTGAACTGTTAATCTTAAATTAACTGATAATGCCATATAAAATGTTTTCCAGAAATTAATTTATTTTTGAAGTCAATTTTTTATGATGAGTGCTTTAAAAAACTTGTTAATCAGAAGCATATTGAAGCTTATATATTATAAGTATAATTCAGAAAAACAGAAGTTACATAAAATACAACAGATACATGAAGTGATGTGTGAATTCACATCTCATAAACTCATAACTCTATTACGTATAATTATGATGTATTGAAAGTATTGTTTTCAATTTTATAATATTGTAATCAGCGTTTACTCACAAATCTGTTCTTTCATCAGGTAACAACTTTTTCAACTCTTCCGAGAACAAGGGCCAGATCGGCACGGAAGAAGACTCAGTAACTCGTCTTTGAAAAGCT